CTGCTGCTGCTGCTGCTGCTGCGCATGCAGCTCCCGCTGCCTGTAAGACAGCAGCAGTAGCAGCAGCAGAAGGAGCAGCAAGAGCTGCAGCAGCAAACGGATCTTTAGCTGCAGCATTTTTGTAAAGCGGGAAGTCTTAAAGCCAGGAGGCGCTTGCTAAGGCAGCAGCATCTTCTGCTGCAGCAGCAGCAGCAGCAGCAGCAGCATTAGCAGCTGCTGCTGCTGCCACTGCCAAATTGCACGGGGGCCCCAACGCTGCTGCAAGAAGCCTCATCAGCAGCAGCAGCAGAGTCCCTGCAGCAGAAGTAGCAGGAAATGAAGCAGCGGCTGCAGCAGCAGCAGCAACACCTCCCTCAGCTTGACGTAGCAGAGAGCCTTCCTAGCAGCAGCAGCAGCAACAACAACAGCAGCAGCAACAGCAGCAGCAACAGCAGCAGCACCAGCAGGGGAAGCCAGTATTGCGCGCTGTGTTCCACTAGAGCAGCAGCAGCAGCAGCTGCTGCTGCTGCTGCTGTGATAGCTCTCTAATGGGTACGCCTGCGGGAGGCAGCAACAGCAGCAGCAGCAGCAGCAACAAGGGACCCTCGAGCAGCAGCAGCAGCGGAAACAGCAGCAACAAAGAAGGCAGCAGCAAAGCCGTGTTCAGCCGCAACAACAAAAACAAACGCAGGGCTAGAGGGGGCAGCAACTGCAGCGGCAGCAGCAGCAGCAGCAGCAACAACAGCAGCAAGAGCAACGCTGTTCAAGACAGCACCACAGATGCTGTTGTGAGTGATGCGGCGCCCGATGTTGCTGCTGCTGCTGTAGAGGCAGAGCCTGCAGCACCACAAGCAGCAGCAGCAGATGCTGCTGTAGCTGCACCAGCAACAGTTGCTGCTGTAACAGCAGCAGGAGAAGATGCTGCCGCAGCACCTGTAGAAGCAGCAGCAGATGCCGTAGAAACAGCAGCAGCAGATGCTGCTGTAGGAGCAGCAGCAGATGCTGCTGTAGGAGCAGCAGCAGATGCCGCTGTAGGAGCAGCAGCAGATGCTGCTGTAGGAGCAGATGCTGCTGGAGCAGCTACAGCAGCAGATGCTGCTGTAGCCACAGCAGCAGCAGATGCTGCTGTAGCCACAGCAGCAGCAGATGCTGCTTTAGCAGCAGATGCTGCTCTAGCAACAGCAGATGCTTCTGAAGCAGCACCACTAGCAGATACTGCAGCAGCAGCAGCACCAGCAGCAGGAACAGCAGCTGCACCACCGACAGCAGCAAGCACAGCAGCAGAAGCAGCAGCCCCACCAACAGCACCAAGCACAGCAGCAGAAGCAGGAACAGCAACAGCAGCAGCAGCAACAGCAGCAGCAGCAGCAGATGGTACAGAGGCTGCAGCAAAGGACGGAGCTGCCGGCGGGTCTGTGCTGTCTTTTCTATCCCGTAGCAACAGCAGCAGCAGCAACAACAGCAGCAGCAGCAGGAGCAGCAGCAGACCGAAGCAGCAGCAGCAAGAGCAGCAGCCGCTGCTGTCGTCTGCTAGCCGCATGCTGCTGAGTATGGGGCGCCGCCTTGGCAGCGGCAGCATTGCTGCAGCGGAGAGTGCAGCAGCAGCAGCAGCAGCTGCTGCTGCTG